TTTTTTTTTTTTTTTTTTTTAATTTATAAAAAAAAAAAAAGAGCATAAGACAATAAATATTACAAGAAATTAAAGAAATAAAACCCAGAAACAAGAAGCATACCAAGCAATTAAAACATCAGCAATCCTCTCAAAAAATGTAAAAATAGCCACAATAATCCTACAAAAACAACAAATTAAAACACAATAATTAACAAAATTACCCTTAATAATTAAATTAAATTAACTTAAATTAACTTAAATTAAATAAAAATTACCAATATTTGCACCAAAAACGAAGCGATTCAACGTCGAGGCTTCGGCTGCTCTTCTCCAGTGTTTTATAACATTCAAATGCCGGATAGGCATATCCAAAAACCATCCTTAAAATTCCCAAATAAATTAATTTAAATGGAAAAAAAAAAAGAAAATTAAGGAATAATTAAGATGAAAAATTAGTATTACTTACAAGAGGCATCGTGTGATCAAAACTCCAAACATGTTTGGAACCCAAAAACCAGAATCCCTTCACAGAATTATGGATTATGGATTATGGATTATGGATTAATATGGGATTTTAAAATGAATAAATAAATAAGTAATGGGAAGCCACGAACGGGCAACCGGCAACCGGGAACGGGAACGGGGTGACCTCTTATTTTTGGTGGTTTATTTCCTAGTTTTAAACCTGAATAATCGGATTTACCGTTTTGTCGGTTTCTAAATTAGTTAAGGTCTTCAACCCATCCTCGGGGCATTTTCGTCATTTCTCTTTTAACGGTTAATTTAGGGTTCCATTTCCTATTTTATAGGTATAACCAATAGACTTTTCAATTTTTTTAATGGCTTTTTAAAATAAAAAAATAAATAAAAATATTGAAATTGGAGTCTTTTATAAAATATATTAAGATTATTTATATTTTATTCTTATTGAATTTATTAGAATATTTTATTTTATTTTATTTTAATAAAAACTATGTATTTAAAAATAAATGTAAAATAGTGATTTAAATGCTTAAAAAATATTTTTGAATAATAATAAATAAATAAAATACCAGCGCAGTGATGGGAAGACATGTTCACCGTTCGATCCACCGAGATGTTCATTATCATTACTTTAAGCTAAACTTTTCATTAGCCGTTTTTTTGTTTAATGTAATGCAACGTGGTGCGTAGTTTCTTCAATTTTTCATCGCAGTGTTGCACCATAGTCAACACACTGCTCCCTTTCACAGCCAGCTAATTCACTTGGAAAATCGTTGAGGTTGAACAATTTTTGGAGTTGTTCGTTTGTCCATATGGATCAAGAAGCTCTGCAATTGTTTAGTAGAAGGCGTGTGGAGTTTCGTTTATGCAATGTATCAGGGTAATTGATTCTCGTTTATGTTTACTGAAATTTCTCTGGAATTTCGTTTTCTATGAACTAAATCGCCTTGCCCTTTCTGGGTTTTGATAGCTACACCAATGAATTGCTGGAGATTCACTCGGATAATCCATCATTGCACGTATTGTTCATACCTGGAAATCCAGGTGCATTTGGCTTTTTCGATGTGGGTTTTCGATGATTTTGTTGATTTCTACTTAACTTCTGAATGTGGATTGTTTTGGGGTTTGTTCTAAGACAGGGATTATTTCGTTTTATAAAGATTTTGTGGAATCATTGTATCAGTTGCTTGGAGGCCGTGTATCTATAACAGGCAAGATCATGAGTTTTTGACTTTGTTCATATCCCTTTCATTTTTTTTCTAAGAATGCATTAAATCTTGTTGTATATATTTGAGCTTACACTTTTTCTTGTTCCATTTATGTTCTTTGGGCCTGCTTCTGTCTACTGTCAGCTATTGGACATATATGTCAAACGAAGAAGGTACTTGGTCAAGGGTTATGTAAAGTTTATATCTGTTATGCTTAACTTTATGAATTTCCCCGGTGGTTTTATGCAATGGATATGGATCTTTCTTATCTTTCAGGACTGGGAAGGTGGAAGGTTATTTTCATTACAAGAACAAATTGATCATAAGGTAAATGTATGTTTTTCTCGGTCGATTTGATTGAATTGTTTATGACTTAGGGAGGCAACTTGTGAGATCCCACATTGGTTGGGGAGGGGAACGAAATTTTCTTTATAAGGGTGTGGAATCCTTTGCCTAGCATATGTGTTTTAAAACCTTGAGGGGAAACCAGAAAGGGAAAGCCCAAAAAAGACAATATCTGCTAGCGGTGGGCTTGGACTGTTACAAATGGTATCAAAGCTAGATACCGGACGATGTGCCAATGAGGAGGTTGAACCCCGAAGGGGCACGGACACTAGGCGGTGTGCCAGCATGGACGCTGGGTCCTGAAGGGGGATGGATTGTGAGATCCCACATTGGTTGGAGAGGGGAATGAAGCATTCTTTGTAAGGGTGTAGAAATCTCTCCCTAGCAGACACGTTTTAAAACCTCGAGGGGAAGCCCGAAAGAGAAAATCTAAAGAGGACAATATCTGCCAGTAGTGGTCTTAGGCGGTTATACAACTAGCCCATGAAAAATTTAAAGTTCCTTAATAAGCTAGCTAGTGACTTCATTTTGCATGTCCAAGATAGCTTTGTAATTGGAGATAGCATTGCAGGCCCTTTCCCTTTCATATTTCAAGGGTTGATATCAGAATTCTGAATGGGGCTGAACTATATTCATCTTTCTTTTGCAGATTGAATTTGTTAAACAAGAGCTACAGAACAAAGAAATTCCATTACTACTGGTATTTACA